TCTTATTCAGTATGTATTAAATTATTAGTAATTAGTAATTATTTGTAAGTTATTAGTGCTTATGTTTAGTTAATTCATCGATGTGACATGGAAAGAGACTTAAAAAAACCACTCTTCGTGTCTCTGATGCTCAGATTTGAAATAGCAAAGTGTTTTCTGAAAACAGAAATAAATAATTAAATAATTAGAAAAAAAAGTTTCAGATTTTAAATTAGGTCCAAAGGGGCGTTTTTTAACATTTTGTGTATTTATTACCATTATTTATTAAAAATCCCGTTCTTCGCACTTAAACCATCAAATTCAGTTCAAGAGCAATATCGCAAAATAATTTTAAATTGAGCATATCTTTAGAATTTCCGATATACAGTCTCGCGTGCTGGAGATAAAAATGTTTTTTCGGTACAATGTTGCCATTTCTCGCTTTGAAATCCTTGAGTTTGTTAATCAAAAATTCATTAAAGTTTTACAAAATATGAAATGGAAAAACAAAATCCAAATTTCAAATTTGGGCTTCCAGATGCCCATATTCGCAGTAGGATTACGTCATTCAAAACTAGATGGCTCTAGGTACCGTTGTTTTCTTACAATGCGAGAAACATACGTACATTTATGCAGATTTCTTCATTATTTAATTTCTTCAAATGTAATACAGGGCGATAATATTTGGTGGCAACAGTTTGAAAAGTGAAACGGACATTCAGAGTGATTCGACGCAAAATCGGAAAACGAAAACAATAGTACCTCAGGGACAAAGCCCCTTTGGACTAGAGAATTACGATGATAAATTGCCACTGTATTTTTTGCCACTCTCATAACTTAGGATTTATTGACCAATGCGCAACCTATAATTATTACTATAACTATGGGTGTGATAGTATTGTTATAAAGCCATGTGAAGAATTTTGCATTGAATGGAGTTAAGACTGCATTTTTCTTCATTCACTTGCGTATGGTTCTAGCTAAAACTTCAGCAAATGACAATTTCTATTTCACTAAGACACGAAAATCTCCAATGACAGAAATAAGACCTTCTTCCAGATACTCGAATGATTGATAAGAAAATCACAAAGCCTATGAATTCTTTTAGATGTGATGTAAATCAGTGAAATTTTTAACACGTTGTGACAGTCAAATTGTATTATATGAATAACTTTATTTTATCGATATACGATTTTTAATGCGTTGAATGATATTCACCAATGAAATATTTAAAGTTTTAAAGCAGTTGCTTTCATTTAATTTTGAAACTTGCATCAAATGTTTGCAATAATAGTAATAAATTTTACTAGCTGTTGTTATTTGCGGTAGCAGAATTTCTGGAGGAAATAGTGATAAATTAGAAGATAATAGCTTTTAGTCCATTATAGGATAATTGGTAAAAGGCATACACAATTCAAAAGAAAAAATATTTTCTAATTCTTTCGCATCCAGCAGAGCGTTTATGTCTCAACTAGGCAAATAAGCCCCGTTTTATGTTTTATTTTGCACAGGGCTCTTTTAAGAAATTTTTTTTCATTCTTTCTATCTTTTTGCTTCCCTGTACGAAGTAAAGGAAGTATTGTAATTGCGAGAAATTTCGTGTATCATATTTCAATGAAAATATCCATTTTGATGGTTCTCGGGACATGTCGGCATGTCGGAACAATAATAAAATGTTAATTCACATGTCAAAGATCTCTTTCTACACAACATTTCTTGTGTAAATCTTTCCATCATTTTTAAGCTCACCTTGCAGAGGACCATACATTATTTTTAATTTTACTTTCGTTCTTTCACGAACTCTTGAACAGGCAACATAAAGTTGACCGTGTCCAAATGCAGGCTAAGGTAAAAAAATGGCAACACGTTTAAGCGTTTGGCCCTGAGACTTATTGATGGTCATAGCAAAGGCAAGTTTTACAGGATATTGTCTACGTCTCAATTGAAACAGCAACCCTATGCCGTGGCAACTTCACCCCATCGGCTAGTACAGTTACGCAAGCAACCAATAAACTATCGGCTACAAACAGTCATTTAAGCCACATGTCATAAAGATATTTATTTATTTCCTTTTATTCGTTTCTTCATCGTTGCCGATTTTTACCGGTTGCATATTTCCGAATTCTATTATATATAGATGTTAAATTTACTTATTAAATGTTAAATGAACGTGCTCTTGTATTTTTAATTTTTCCGGCTAAGCTTCCTCATAATATTCGTCACGCGCTTCACTACACGGGGAATAAAGCAATTTACAGTTACGCAAGCAACCAATAAACTACCGGCGACAAACACTTAACCTTTTGAAGACGGGATGGTCATTATAGTAGCCATAGAGTCCTCTCTTTGAAAAGACGGGGTTGTCTACTTTAGTGGCCATGTCTTTTTCCCCCATTTTCCAGGGTGAAAAGTGGGGTGAAATGTCAAATTTGACGTCCCTGGGGTTTTAACCACTTATCTCTTTCAAAGGTCTTTCTTTTGCGACATAGATACACCCTTCTGAGAATCCATTAAACTACACACGAGAATTTTTGTTGCAAATAGGAGGTGATTTCGTGAAGGGGGGAAAGCATTCGGTTCAAGATTTCCCGTCCTTTGGTAGCTTTTACTGCTACCAAAGCCCCGGCCTCAAAAGGTTAAGCCGCATATATATAAGATGTATGTATTTCACATAACTCAAAAAGAGTAGCTAGAGAACGTAGAAATTTTTTATATGAGACTGCTATAACATCTAGGTGTGCTCCTGCCTTTTTTTTTTTTTTTTTTTTTTTTTTTTTGTTACAATCGGCCACACCAAACATATATAAATATATAGACATATATATACCTCCTCTGTTTCTTACGCGGCTCGGTGAGCTCAGTTTTTTTATTCTTATGTATTGGTAAACTGTGCATTTTTTGCTTTAAAAGTGGTTGAATTATGTTGTTCTTATGTTCCGGTTAAGTTTTTTATGCCTTTACTTAATCTACATGCAATAATAGAAAAATCAACAATTTAAAAGTTGTTCAAGTGCGACTAAACCTAATGGAGCAGTCATTAGTTTAAATTTGAAATTTAGCAGAACAGTGAATTAAGTCAGTTTCTGCACCTCCGGTATTGTTTTTGCCAAGTGGGACCAAAAGTAAACTTTCAGTTTTGTGCACCAAAAAATCTGGCTTCTAGCCCGCTATCCTAATAGCTTGTTTTTGCATAACAACTCTAATTTTATTTTATTTTTTTTAACTATTTTACTGTATTTGGTATTTTATATTTTTCAATTTTTAATGAAGATGTTTTGAATTTTTATGTATTTTTGCTTTGCAGGGAAGTGAGAACTGAATTAATTGAATGAGAAATATATCTGTAATGAAATGCGAGGAAATAAGTTTAAATGAAATTTAACAAAAAATGTGTGTAATTTAATGGGATGCAAGGAAGTCATGTGGTGTCCACATCAGATTTTTGTTTTTTCATATACTTTACTGTATCTCATAACCTCCATTTTCGAAATTACATGTGTGTAATTTCTATTGATGTAAACATCAAGTTACCATTATAACCAAGTAAAAATATTAACAGTGTAATGTTGTCAGGGAATATTGTATTGGCTGTTGTTGTATTAATATTATAGAACACGTATGTTCCAGTAATTTTTTTTAAATTTATTTTTTAAGTGGGTTATATATATATCCCACTTGAATTTTCCAGCATGAGCAGAAGGGAATTGAACCAGACTGAACTCGAGTTCTTACATTAATTTAAACGTAGCAGTATCCCATGCAGATAAATCAGTCTATTTAGACTTTTCAAAAATTGAATCCACAAAGGTTAAATCTCTGCTGTTTTGATATTACTTTTTCAATCAATGCTTGCAAAACATGGTAAGTTAACACCGATTTAAAATTAATTAGAATGTTAATTATATGAAAATAATTTATTTTTGGTTTGTACTTTAGACAATGGCTTACAGAATAGCTTTACAAAACTACATAAAAGTATAGGTATCTGTGGGAAAGTGACATTCTTTAAATAAAGTAATGACCTTGTAGCAGAATATTTTTTCCACATATAGTGATACATACCTCTGTACAATATACTTGCAAAAGTGGCTGAAAATCTGCAACGAAATTATTGAGAGACATATCGGAACAATGATAACATGTGCATACTGTAGGCCGACCCGTGGCTGCATTAACACCATAACAATTTATTTTTAAAAAAAAATCAGAATGCCTTTGCCAACTTCAATGATTTTTTTCCTTACATTTATTGAAATTTCAGATTAAACAATTATTTAGACCAAAAAGAATGATATTTCATATCTTTTAACTGCGGTACCTTGAGAAAATCTCTCGCAGAGTCTTCGCCAGCGGAAATATTTTCTAGAAAATTAAATGCAAACAAAATCGAAAATAACTCTCATGATGATTTATCAGTTCTCTTTATCTCTAAGCGCTTGGTGTTTTTGAAGCTCTTATCGTATAACAATTATTTATGAACAAGCAATGATTTTGTACGTCTTTTCTCACGACTTCAGAATGAAAAAGCGAAATTTTTGCTGTGCTTTTAAAAAAACTGCAGGCTGCAGAAATTTCAGCCAATCATTTATCAGAATTTCTGTAATATTTCGCTAACAATATACACACAAAAAGTTAACCTTAGCAACCCCGACGAAACTGATATACTTTAGTTTATCTTAAAGCGATAATTTCTCAACGAATAAAGAAAATCATTGCTCAAGTACTTGCCAAATGAAAAAAAAAAAAAAAAAAACATATAAAAATAATACATTAAATTAAAAAGTACGAAAACGCAGAAAATTCCTACAAAAATGAATTCTGTTGATGATGAATTTAAAAAAATAATCATTTCCTGAAAAAAAAAAGAGAGAGAAAGAACTATTGCTAACAGTGTAAAGATTACCTGAAAAATTGTATAATGATTTGTTACGTACTTTATTTGATGGCAAGTGCAAAAGTAAAATTGCATACTTTCTGATAATCTAATAAATTATAAGATTTAATTTAAATGCTATCCTCACCTCTATAATGCTGTATTTATCTCCATCAATATCAACAAATGGTTTCTTTCTGTTCAAGACACTAAAAATAAAAGAGTGATGTTTACTACAGGAATTTTATAAATAGAACTGAGATAATCAGTTCAAAGCCTGGATATGCTAGGTAATTCAAAAAACAAAACTGCTAAAATGACTAGCCAATAAAATAAAACTTTAACTGTGCACATAGTTATTAACTGAGGTTACTAACATTAACGAATTTTAAAATCAAGATTAACAAGCAGAAATTTAAATGAACTGAAAGTAATCATTCACTTATATATTATCCCTATACTATTTTTGTTCCCTGAAATTCTTTTAATGTTCTAGTAAATCCGTGTACTACCCACTTTTTAAATTTTAGTCCCAAATGACGAAGAATATTATAACAGCTAAAAATAATTTCTTATAGAATTTCACTAAAATCGTGTAATGGCTATACATTATTTAATACCTTTTAGCGTATAGAATTGTTTGTTGTTTGACTTCTAAATTAATAAACTGAATTAATCAGTAATTTTCATTTATCTTTTTTAAATCAAATTTATTCGATTTCTATTTCGAATAAAGAAACATGTTGAAGTTGATAGTTTCAGATATCTCAAAATATTCGTCCCCGTTAATTCATGTAAGTATCTTTACCCAATTGCGTATGCATAAACATGATCTGAGAAATTCGAAACAAATTAATGCAAAAGAATTGAACTACTATATAATAAAGATGCTTACTTATCAATGGTTCGGCACACGAAACTTACTCCAGGAAGTTCGCACGCAGATGGCAGTTTCTCTACCAATGACTGTAAAAGGAAGAAAGAAAGATTATAGTGAATAATTTTAGAAGCATTTATCATCACTACCTGAATGCAATACTCATTCGGCGTCTATTTATCACGCAAGACTCATTGTCTTGCTTGATAAATAGATAATTAATTTCCATTTTAGAAGATACCATTGTGTTTTTGATATAAACGATCTTAGATGAATGAAACTGAATTAGTTTAAATTTGATTTAATAATAATACCAATATTTCGCATATACAATGCGTCACAAAAAGATCATCCAACTAAGTACCTGTTGAATGATTAGCCATAGATCATCCATCGTTCATGTTTTAGAAATGGTGTAGCTATGTATTTAATTATGGCAAAGCACACGAGGGCTATCTGCCTAAGGGGAGGGATGCCTTCGTGGAGGACTTTCTAAGGGAAACTGGCTCGTATACACGTTACACATGGGGAAAACCAATGTTTTAGAAATGAGGGAAGTAAGTTTAGCCTGTATACTGATACATACAAGTTTTGATTATCTGATAATATTTAGTAAAACGATAACATCCATCTTTATGCAAAGGAAATTTAGAAATTGATCCTGGTAACATTATTTAAAATTTTGAGGGACTACATAAATACTGCTAAAAAGCGATTACGCATATTTAGTTTTCGAATGCATATTACTAAAATATATTTTAACGTTAGAAAAATACTAATTAAAAAGTAATGGTTTCAAATTATCATTCGTAAAAAATCTAAAAGTTGAAATTTTCCACTTAAGAAAATTTAATTTTATGCGATTCTTAAAATCGATACAACAAAATTAATTTTTAATCGGAACTAAATTTATGTTTACCACCGGATTAAAAAGTTTAAATCGCATTATTTTGGCAATGTTTTTTGGGCTAAGCTTGCATATTATAGAATCGGTTCATTTCTTCTCCCTCCCGAAATAGCTTTAATGGGCTATGAAAAAAAAAATTAAGCATATTTTGTTATTTTGTCTTACGCGCCGAAATTGGCATAGCCTGAAAGCCTCTCTAGTTTGATTCATTACTTAAATGGACCCATGGATCTAGTGCCAGCCGTTCACTCACTATTCAGAGTAGCGCAATATTTTTTAAATGCCCTGCATTGTTTCTATTTATTCAATAGTTTATTTGTTGCAATATATCTCAAGTGTCTGACAGTAACATTACAGCAAGCCCACGAAATTCTTCGTGGCAAGGCGTGCAAAATTGCGCCTGTTGTCAAGAGCCTTGAGAACCACACAGATGACAGTACGACTTTGCTCAGCTTATCCCCCCTCCAGGTTTGAGGAAGAGCACTGCGGGGGGTGGCATGGATCCAAAGGTCTCCCACACCTCTTCCCTTACGACCAACCTCTAGAGAGGCCTTCCGTCTCGCCTTATGTTTAGATTTCCCCCATGCCTCACAGACACTATACGTTTACAAATATCCATGCCTTCTCCGTTAGGTGACTTACTCTAACCTGCTCCGCCACTTAAGGTAACGGCACTGCAGGGCTGGAATATCATCCCAGTCGTTGCACTAGTAATTTGTCAGTCAAGCCGCATCTTTTCCTTTTTTTTTTTTTTTTTTTTTTTTTTTTTTTTTTTTTTTTTTAATTCCTCTCTACTAGATTGTGTCAGTAAGGCTGACAGATCGCTTTTTGGACCACTGTTCGTTTTTTCTTTTTTAAAATACATAAGACATACGCAATACAAAGTTAATAATTTCTAAACCTAATTGTTAGGACCTATTTATAATATATACAAGATTTAACAAAGCCTGTAGAGCGCAGTCTTGAACTGTGTCTTTGCCAGTTCCTACCTGTTGCATCATGCTTCTGCCTCGACTATGAAGCCGTCTGTCGTTATTCTTTCTATCATCGCTATGACCACCAACATCGTGCAGAGCACAGCTTCCACTATTCTGGACACCGTCTTCTCAAACGATGACCCAGAAGAGGACTCGATAGAACAACGAAAGGGGCGCAATAACACCACCATTCCTGCGACACCTCACCACATCTCACCTACTCTTTAGCGATAAAGAAATCAAACAGCTATTCCGCCACCTTCCTAGGAAAAAAACGCCAGTGCTTCTGGCCTGGCAGCTTAGATTGTTCGTGCCTGACAACTTAGATTATTCACTCATCCATAAAACTTATAAAGCGCGCCCCTCATTTTTTAAGACCTACTTCAATCAGCTTCTTCACCAACAAATCTTTCCAGCAGCCTTCAAAAGAGGACATGTCGTTCTCTTTCTTAAAAAGAATAAGAACCCACAAGACCCAAGTTCTTACCGGCCCATCTGCCTCCTCTCTGCTTTAGGCAAGATTTATGAAAAACTTCTCGTTAACAGGCTCAAGCACCACCTGTACAGAATTAACCATCTCAGCCCCCGGCAGTATGAAATCCGCAAAGGATTTTCCACGACACATGCCCTCTACAATATTCAGGAAACATTACAAAGCAATAAAAAAAACAGCGACATGCACACAGCCTTCATTTCTATAGACCTAAAGAGTGCATTCGACACCCTCTGGTGGCCAGCAATTAAAACAGGCCCTCAGAGGAGCACACTGCCCCTCCAACCTATTCAACATCTTCAACAGCTACCTCCACGACCGCCATATTCCAGTTTGTAAATAACGACGGTACGACATCCAAGGTACAAGAAAAGGCTGTCCGCAAGGGTGCTGTGCGGGACCGACACTCTGAAACCTCACCTTCAATTCAATCCTTGAAACCAACTGGCCATCGCATACAAACATCACTGCTTATGCAGACGATGTAGCCCTGCTCGTAAGAGGACGCTCCCTGAAAGAACTGGAACGCAACAGCACAGAGGTCTGCATCTTATTTAGCACCGCATGCAACAAACTATAGCTCACGATCTCCATAGAAAAATCGTCAGCAATAATAATTCCCAGACGAGGTACCAATCCAACTCGTCGTCCATGCATCAGACTCCTAGCCGAAACATCAAAATTGTGCGGAATCTCAAGTATTTAGGGGTAGTATGAGACCAAGGTCTTACCTGGATTCCAGATATCATGGAAATCAGAAAGAAGACGTCAATTATTGCCCGCATAGTAAGACAACTTCAAGGTCGCAGGTCGCAACTGGGGCCAAAACCCCCACATTCAAAAAGTGCTATACCGCACAGTTGTAGAAAAAATAGCTTTATACGCAGTTATCTAGGCGCAGCCAATGGGTACTCGCAAGATCAGGCAACTTACAATGCTACAACGCCCCTTCGCCCTGCAATTAAGCAAAGCCTACCGCACAACCGCCACCAGTGCACCAGCCTTGTATCAGTAGTGTCCAGTTGCTAAGCTTCGGCCCTGTATCAAGTCACTGGAATTCCAAGAGAGAACATCCCGGCAGGCAGTATGAGGGTCTCTCCCCCTTCTTCCTCCAATAATATATCAGCCTTGTATCAGTAGTGTATCAGTTATATTTCATCAGTAATGTACAAGTAATGTAACAGTAACATTGATCTATGATTTTTAATTCTTTTTTCTTGGGGGGGGGTCTCTGTAACGTATAATTTCGTGGATTATTTACCGACTTGTGCAAAATCATTCCCATTTCATCAGTATTAATATTCAGTTTTATATCAAGTATCAGTAATGTAGCAGTATAATCAGTGTTAATATTACCAGTATTTATCAGCCTTTAATCAGTTTGCATCTGTCATATTTGCATCAGTAATATACCAGTATGTATCTTAATATTAATCGTAACTCTGTAACATGTTATATTGTATGTCTTGTCGTGCACGTTGATCCTTTTCAGGTGGCATTATTTTTGAAGGGTGCTATAGATAGTACAATAGTACAAAAATATAACAGTTAGAACATTCATTTGTGATATTTTAATTCGCAATATTTTGAGTCTCTGTAACGTATTATTCGTGGATTTATTTACCGACTTATCAAAATCATTTCCATTTAATCAGTAATAATATCAGTGTTATATCATGTATCAGTACTGTAGCAGTATTAATCAGTGTTAATACTAGTATTATATCAGCCATTATCAGTTCAGCATCTGTCTGTTTGATCAGTAATGTACCAGTAATGTATCTTGAATATTAATCTGTAACTCTGTAACATTTATATTGTATGTCTTGTCGTGCACGTTGAATCCTTTCAGGTGGCATTATGTATTTTGAAGGGGTGTTATAGATAGTGGTGGACGTGGTGCTATACTAATTAACCGTTTGATAAAGGGATAGTGCCCACGTCCTCCGTTCTCTCTCTCTCTCTATCATCGCTATGATCCCCCTTCTTTTGTAGTAATGACAGAATAATGGGGGGAGTCTTTGGTCTCTGAAGTTACTTTGAAAGTGAGTCCGTCTTAGATCTTGGGTGAATGAGCAGTTCAGAAAAGGTAGTGAAGAAACCCTGCTTGATGTCCTGCTGCCCGCATTTGCATTTGACCTTCTTGTTGTGGAACCTAATTTGGTAAGCGGGAAAGTGTCCGTAGTCTGTACATGCTTGGATGAATCCATGGTTTGCAGTAACCGTTTTCGTGTTGACGGTGGGGAAGATGTCCGAAGGTGTATCTTCCTGTCTCCTATGCCTTCTCTGTAATTCGAACCCGAGTCCTTCGGTACGGGAGTCCGTCGCTAATCACTACAACGGTTGGGCGGCGCATTTTATGTAATAATTTTAACGTGCATTTTTGTGTAATTGAATTTGTGGCCACGCACTATATTATAAGTGCTTATTTTTTGTGTAATCTTGTAATTCTGAATTGATCAACGTTTAAATTGTGAAAATAGTTTAGTAAAAAGAAGAAATTCTCATGGACTTTGGTGAAAATTTTTCTTACCAATCTGTCGATATTTGTCGATCTCTCACCAAGTTGGAAATTTTCTGGAAGTTTTCGAGAAATGCATTTTTTAAGAGAGGCGAATTTCTTCGAACTTCCAGAGTTGGGTCCATAAGTTTCGAATTAACAATGGGTCTTCGTAGGATTCCTATTTGGTGACCATACTCTCTAACTTAGTGATGAATTCCGCTGTTAGCCTTTAAGGTTATATGCCCCATACTGACATCATATGCAAACGACTTCGTGATGGTTTCCAGTAGGCGGAATATACATGAATTAAACGTTAACACCGAACACGGTGTACAAACTTTCGTAGATTGGGACAGGCAGCATAAACTAATCATATCCCTTGATGAAACAAAAGCGTTGATAATCAGTCATGACACTCGACTCACAAAGAAACCGCTCTGGGTCTTTTAATGGTACCCCAGTTAAGTTTGTTTAAAACATTAAATAGATTAATGTCGTAATAGATAATCAGATCAATTGGCTTCCCCGTGTCAAATACGTAAAGGATAAACTTATAAAGCTTCCGGATTCGTTGCAAAGAATTATGGGAAGCGCCAACCAAGATGCATAAAAGGGTACCGTTCGGTAACAGAATAGATTGCTTTGTACATTGCAGCCATATGGGGCCTCAACTCTACAGGGCACTTAAAAAATTATCTGCAAGCACATTAGAGACTCTCCTTACTTAGAACGTGTCGTGCTTACAGGATAGCTTCTGTGAATGCTTTACAAGTACTAGCAAGTCTACCACCGTTAGACTTAGTTGTACAACTCGAAGCAGCTATTGTAAGTATAACTTGACTCCAGCATCCTTGAAGCAACACACCCACGTACATAGCAATTATGAACATCATGACATTTAAACTCCACGTAACCCTGTACCCTTCAATATTAACTGCGGTTTGAGTCTCTTATGTAGACTCGCTCAGCTCTTTTTACCATATGGCTCTAAAAGTAACAAAGCCTGAGTTTTTTGTGCTTATATAAATTACAGACAAGTGAACATCTGGAAAACGAAATTCAGAGATCACAACGCTATATATCAGACAGAATTATATGCCATAAAAGAAGCTTTAAGTTATACCAAGAATTTGCCATTGCGCACCACATTATTCTCTGGCTCTGCTTCTAGTTTCACTGCAATTAAGAATCCAAATTATGCATTCACTGAAAGACTGGACATTGCTTTGCTGGGTACCATGGCATACTAGGATCGTCGTCAATGAAGCAACAGACGAACTCATGAAGCAAGCCTCAGTTCTGACTTATGTATCATACAACATTCCATTATCAGCATCCTGTATATATAATCACACATTCTACAAACTTTTTGAAAAATGGCAGGAAAGATGGAACTCGGGCTTGACTGGTTGGAAAACTTCTATATTTATTCCCAAAATTTCCATAATTGATCGTATCATAAATTCCAGAACCTGTTTATCCCTCATAGGTCATTTCCATCGTATACGTATCGTTTCAGCACTAACGGAATGGTCTTTTCTGAGGAGGAGCATCCAACGATCCAGATCATTATGGTTTTAACAGTCCATACACGCTATCTGCTCATCTGCGTATGCTAGCTATTGAACATTTGGGAAGTATGGATGGAGAATACTAACATAAACGTAGTAAAGATCAGAAAAATAATCATAGCTGTTACTTATTCTGCATCATTTACTGATACAGAATGACTTCACATAGTTGCAAATGACTTTTATATGTAGTACGTTCTGTTCTTAGACTTTGTTTGTTTCTAGTAAGAACTGATTACTGACTGTTTATCTTCATATATAGTGGTACCTCGGTATATGTCATTTATCCTTTCCGGATCCTTCGACTTATACAAAACTAGACATACACCAAAAAAACCTTTTCCAATACGAAATAAAAGGGAAATAATTAATCAGTTTCAAAACCCTATTAATATTATTCTAACATTGTAGTATAATACACTCGTGTCCATAAACTAAGGATAATTCAAAATCACATAGAAATAAAACTCTAAAGTAAAAATTTCAGCTGTAGAATTATCGCACACATCTTCAAGAATAATATGCAAATTACAAAAAGCCATCAAATGACGCCGATAGTACGCCACAGTGACGAGAGTGTAAGAGAAGTGTATGCAAGGAATGGTAGCAAAGAAGTAAAATTGTTCACAAGCGTTCTGTAAGCGGCAAAGTGCCACAGCCCAATAGTTATCACACAGAGGACGCATGTGGATTACTTTTTTGTGTAGTAGAATTATCAGCCACCTGCAATGTGAGCGTACTCAGATGGAAGTATCCGAGGAAGTTAGAATAATCCAAAGTGCCATCTCTACGCTTTGACAACGATTCCAAAACGATGGAAATGTCAGTAGACGTTACAATGCAGGTCGTCCCCGAGTTACAACGCCGAATGACGACCGGTATTTGGCAGTGACTGCCAAAAAAAGCAGACGGAGCACTGCATCAGGCCTGTCTCGTCAGCTATCTTCAGTTACGGGTAGGACAGTTTCAAGGCAAACCGTGTATAAACGTTTGAGACAGATTGGTCTATATTCTCGGCAGGCCTGTCAGATGTGTTGCGTCCACGGCAACTAATTGTCGCCAGTGGTTGGCTTAGACTAGAGAACATGCAATGTGGGCATCGTCACAGTGAGCTCGCGGGATGTTTTAGAAAGAGTCCAGGTTTAGCTTGCAATCTGCTTCACATCGGACTTTCATATGGAGAGCTGCAGGTACACGCTACCACCAAAGCAACATCAATGAACGACACCGTTACGGTGGTGCAGGATTGGTCGTTTGCGGTTGAATTATACTGGGCTGCAGAACAAGTCTGCATATTCAGATCGGAACCCTGATAGGCCAAGTTATCAGGACATCATTCTGGAACAATATGTACGTTTGTTTAGGGGCGCCATGATTTTTGTTTACGGATAACAATGTCTGTCCTCACCATGCGAACACTGAAAAGGAATGCCTTCAATCTGAGGATATAACCCGTATGGAATGGCCAGTATTCTTACTTGACATGAATCCGATAGAACATGTGTAAGACATGCTTGGCCTACCAATTGCAGCCCGTGAAGTACCTCCTGCATGTGTACTGGAAATTCGGAGCGCATTGCTTGATGAGTGGAGTAATCTTCCGCAAGATAATTTGATACTCAGCATGCCTAGGCGTTTCACAGACTGTATTTCATTGTCTTGGAGACATGCAACCGTCATATTAACCATCATACGAACCATATAATGTCACGTTTTTGTAAGAAAGATGTTTTTGTAATTGCTCCCGGGAGCAAAAATTGTAGTTTTTATGAATTGTATCATACGTACACTATCGTTTTTTGTTCTTTACCTTTTTTTAACCTCTTCGTCGTCGGTAACGCATCTAGCGCGTTCAAGTGAAACTTCCGCAGGGCGGCTGTAACGCGCCTCAAGCGTTCTTCTACATTTTAAAACTTTTAAAAAAACGTTTAAAAAACCTCCTGTTCCTTGTTTGAGTTTTTATTTTTGTTTGTTCTAAACCTCCTAAATGGTACAGTACTCAGGCCTTCTTTTCATTGATTTGTCGGATTTTGAATATCGGCCATTTCCTAAGAACAACAGGGCGAGATGGCTTCAACGTCCCTCCTAAAAAGAGAAAAATGAGGTGGTGAATTGGAAAGACAAGAAGGATATACGTTTGATATACAGTCCATAAAACTCATGTTTGATGTTGGCCCGGAAAAAAAGAACTGTAAAAAAAACAATAATTGTAAAAGATTACATCAACAAAATGGGAGGAGTGGACCGCCTGGATCAGGTGTTATCAAATTATCCTGCTTTAGAAATAAGCAAAGATATTATTATTTCTTCATTATGCTTTATTTCCTTATAATTTTGCTTAATATTCATTGACATTCATTCACTACGAAATTCATGTATGGAAAGTTATGATGAACAGAGGAAACAACATTACACGCTACGAAAAACAGACGGCTGCTGGGGGTAAAATTTTCGCGGACAGAAGAGGACAGTCAAAGGGTTAATAAACGGGATTTATGAATAAGTCACGTTTGTTTTCCTTCTGAATCTTTATTTGCCGAAACTGGCATTATCCTTAATTTATGGACATGTGAGTACTAAAATACAATGCAGTGGGTAAAATATGTGCAGTATATGAATGAATATTTACGAAATTTATTTCTCTTTTTGTGTCAGGTCCCTACTTGGACCTGGTTGCGGATCTCCAGTCTGACCAGTCCAGTTTCTTATGTTCAAAGGCAATTATTTATTCCTATGTGTTATTTATCGCATTCCACAGAATAAGTATAAAATAAAAACATTTTAGAAAACTTTAAAATTACACGGTTTTAATAAAGCACTAAAAATTAGAAAATGATATTTTAACTTCGATAATATTCTTCATGTTTGAATAAAAATAAATTCGTAGGTCTCTCAAACGTGAATTATAATAGAACATTAACAGAATTTCGAGGAACATTAGAAATGATACGTATAAGAATGATTATATTTACTTCGTTAAAATTTCTCTGGTAATTTTGATAAAAAATTCGCCACCGTTAGCAATTTCACTGTTTTATTTTCAGTTACGCATAATTAAGAATATTATGAAGGCTAAAAATCTATTTTTTACATTTGATTAAAAAAGTGTAATTTAAAATGTAATTTTACGTATAGTTTATATCTTATGATAAATTCTTGCCATCTTTACTATTTATTGTATTTCTATTCCTACTATAAAATACTTCATAAGTTGCATTTTCGCTGCTTTTTTTTTTTTTTTTTTTTTACCGGAACAGGGTGTGATACAAGTACCTCGCAAAAGGCAAGGATGAGAAAAATGGGGAAATGGCTTATTGGGCTAAGTATAAGACTTACCCAATGAAAGAAGGGCAATGTTGTTGATCCACTCCGAGATTTTCGAATTGCTTCTTCCATACCTTCCTAAAACGAATAAAAACATTTTTGGGTCTTTTCACTGTTTATTACTCAGAAAAATATAAAAAAACAATCAAGAAATAAACTAAAAGGCATGATTTGCCATTAGAGATTTTATAAAATGTCAACTTTACTGCACAAAATGCTAAGCATATTAAGAATTATAAAAAGAAAAGTAATGACGTAGTGTATTCTAGTAAATGATTAGAAGAAAATTACAACACTGAAAACAGCAAATTAAATATAATGAGGAATATCATACATATGTAGGCTAATAGAAAATTTTTAGGCGATTCTCTTATTTAGATTCAGGTTATCCTATGAGCTCTGTATGTTTTCCTTAGATAGATTTCATTACTACACATTGAATTGTACTTTTCACGATGTTTTGTTAAACCTTTCAAAAAGAGAAAATAGTCTAATTTATGACATCCTGGTTATTATTTAGCACTGAGAGCACAGCATTTTTCACTTTCTTATCCGAAGAGAACCATTCTGCTCGAGTAGCATTTTCAATATTGAGAATGCTCAGAAAACACATTTCATTAAATGGAAATTTCGACCGGCCATTTCCGAAAGCAGAAACACTGTTTCTTGAGCAAATCTGGTCTTTTGATCTCTATAGCTTTACTCAAACTATTTTCAAGTTGGTTGCATAATAGTAACTTTATTTTTCCGCCGATGAATGCGCAACGTTAACATTCATAGCCGCAGTGGATAACTTGCTAAAATGTGCTTTGAATGCGCTTACGACCTTGAAGTGCCTCTGCCATTCAAATAGGGAAACACAGCTAAATACTGTATCATCAATGAATACCTACCGCAATATTTGAAGCATTTCGTTACGGCTGTGCTTAAATTTACCATAAATTTCAATCAAATCTCTGCCGTATAATCATAAAGAGTATTCCTCCCTTTTCATGAGAAGATGTACTGCATATTTGAGCTCGCTGTGAGCAAATACACTCTTGTGCAGAAGCAAGAAAGATTGCAAATTATGTCTATTTTTACGAAAAGTATTGAA